CCTTTTAAGGTATTGTCGGTAAGTATTGATGAACAGAATATGATTCCATATGTAACGCAGACACTGCAAAATCCGGAACTTGCATTAAAATTGGCCATACGTTGCGATCTTCCTGGAGCCGAAGAATTGTTCGTCCGTAAATTCAATCTTCTTTTTGGCAATGGTAACTACGCTGAGGCAGCGAAAGTTGCAGCCACGGCGCCTCAGGTTATGATTGTTCTGCATTTTCACTCGCCGCAAAAATCTTTATCTTTCCAATAATTTAATTTTTGCAGTAATTTAACTTTCTCCCTAAAATTGGGCGTTCTTTTTATAGGGGATTTTACGCACACCACAGACAATCCAGAAGTTCCAACAGTGCCCTCATACTGGCGTTAGCCCCAGCCCGTTGCTTCAATACTTTGGGATATTGCTGGATCAGGGACAGCTGAACAAGTACGAGACATTGGAATTATGCCGTCCTGTGCTTGCTCAGGTATCGTGAAGTTTGCATATTCGTATCGAATAAATTAAGCATTTTTCTTAAAATCAAATCAATTAAATTAGCAGACGAAGTGATTTAAAGTTGGTAAAACTAATTCTGATCGTGCATGTAACAACGAAAACAACGATACATTGATTTTTCGTGAATTAGGAAAAAGGTGTGACTGAAACTGGATATTTGTTTAATGAGCTTAAAATATGTTAGAATAAATAAACTTTTTAATCGAAATACTCATTTGGGATCGCATTAGTTTGTGCAGTTTTGTGTTGAATTCGAATGCATTCGCCCTCATCGTTTTTAAGTGTTTCGGGGTAATTATGTTTTTTATACCTTTCCCTAGTTCCTTTTTTTTTTTGCAGGGAAGGAAGCAGTTGCTGGAGAAGTGGCTCACCGAGGGCAAATTGGAATGCACTGAGGAGTTGGGCGATCTGGTCCGACCGCATGATGTTAACGCCGCACTTTCTGTTTATCTTCGTGGTAATGTCCCTCATAAGGTATCCGCTGTTTGTTCATTTTTTGGCAGCGAAAAGCTATTTATACCTTTTTATAAATGTTTGTTCCCTAAAGTGTTTGCTTTCAAAGAAGGTGCACTGTAATTTTATTTATGATTTTTATCTGGCTGCCATTTATAACGTTCATGAAACACGCAGCTAAAAGCAAACTAGGACATAATAGTCGAAGAATAAAATGCAGAATAGTTCTGCATGGGTATAAACTGCCTCGCCTTGATGTGCAGCGTCCCGTCTCGGCAAAATCTCCGTTAATTTGCTCACTGACACATAACCACCAGCGGTGCACCCATGGAGTTAGTCATTCGAACGGTGACTAATTTCTTCGGTAGCCATCATAAACAGTAAAGAATGTAGAACATAATAAATGGATGTGCAGGTGTATCTCTTCCACAGGTCGTGCAATGTTTCGCCGAGACAGGCCAGTTCGACAAAATCATTCTGTATGCGAAAAAGGTGAACTTCGAACCGGATTATCTCTTTCAACTGCGCCAGGTGCTGCGCTCGAAACCCGAAATGGGTGCCAAATTTGCTCTGATGCTTGTGACTGAAGGAGAAAATGAACCGCTTGCTGATATCAATCAGGTCAGTTTCGCTCGTATATATCTATCCAAGAATGATTGCGTTTTCAAGTATGTGTAGCTCCACTACCTCTGTAGCTCCAGCGATGATCTGATAAGCTAGTCTTACAGCCGAACAGTGTATCAGACAAAGGGAACATGTTTGTAAATTTTGGAATTTTTGTTTGAATTTTCTTAGAAGTTGTTGCTGTTGAAGAAATGCTCGTTTAACTATATGTGGAGCCTGTCCTCATAGATCGGCACCTTATATTGAAGTTTGTGCTCTCCATTGTTTTGGGAGGAGGGGGGACAAGCTAATGGGCTGTTTGACAACCGGAAACATAGAATGTCTGTCATAAGTCGTGGCTGGTCCTAGTTCTTTCACTTAATTTCATTTCGCATGAGCACGAAATATGTAAAAAACAGCTAACTGCCTTTTTTTTACGACAGCATTCAAAAGGGATTGGCTGTGTTTTAGATAGTTGCATGCTTTGAAGAGGTGCAAGCAGTACAGCAGTGCACATCATTCCTGCTGGAAGTGCTCAAAGGTGACAAGGAGTCGGACGGGCACCTTCAGACAAAACTGCTTGAAATGAATCTGCTCTATGCTCCACAGGTCTGTTTTTAATGCTTTTTTGGAACTAATTGCAGCTGTAGCTGTGGGGCCATACCACTTCGTGGCTTTTATTATTCTACTCGCCTGCAGCTTTTCTAGTATTTTATTAAAGTGACTAAAGTTGATTCTTGGCTGTGGAATCCTTGTTGGAAATAATTCCACGCGCAGTAGTGGTGGAGAATTTTGCTATTTACTGCCCTGAATGGTTTTTCTGTGCAGACCATCTTTCTGAAGCACTAAAAAATTATGAATCGGTGAATTTTTTGGTGCTTTTTGAAGGATTATTTTGTTTTGTGCTGTTATTTTAACATTTTCTCGCAATTTATTGGTTTTTGCTGAAATTATGCTCTTAAGACTATGACATATATCCTACCGTCCTATAAAATAAAATGCGGTAGCTGTGATACTTTTGTTTTCTGTGTTAAGATGACGGAAAGTAACTTCGATTTGATCACTTAGCGAATGATTAGTGGATCTGTATGGTACTGCTGTTATGTTTAATTACAATAAACAGTTTCAGGTGGCGGATGCTATCCTTGGCAACCAGATGTTCCATCATTACGATCGTGCAACCATCGGACAACTGTGTGAGAAAGCGGGTCTTCTGCAACGAGCTCTTGAGCATTTCACTGATCTCTATGATATCAAGCGTACGGTTGTTCACACTCAGCACCTCAAACCGGATGTTTGTTTTCTTTTTATATTTTTATGCGTTTTTTGCAGCAATGCAATGCGAAAGACGCATATTGACGAGAGGTTGTTTGTGTGTGTCTGTGTGTCCGTGTGTGCGTCTGTCACGGTTTTTCATCTCAAGACCTACAAAAGCTACGGGGCTGAAATTTTGGGGACTTAGTCTACATGCACGTACGGGCCCAATCCCCAAAATTGACGCCATACCCCGCGTAGTACCCGCGTACGGGCCCCCAAACTTTTTTTCGAGTAAGTTCATAACTCGGGGATCTGAAAAGCTAGAAAGCTGAAATTTTAAGGGACTGTTCAGCGTCCAAGTAGGTACTAATGAGCTCAAATCCAGCCCTAGGGTAAGCGTGGTACCCGCGCACGGGCTCCCCCAAAATCTTTCCCGCGCAAATTCATAACTCGGGCTTCTGAGATGCTAGAAGGCTGAAACTTTAAGGGAATGTTCCCCCTCCAAGCAGGTGCTAATGAGCTGAAATCCAGCCCCCGGGTAAACGGGCCTTCCAAAGTTTTT